TGAGGTCAACCCCAACAAAAGCACTCGAAACTGTACTCGGAATCGACCCCCTGGACATTCACGCTCGCCTGATTGCGGGGAAGGCAGCACAACGCCTTATAGCATCAGGAAACCTATCGATACAAAGATACGGGCACAGTTGAATTGGCAGGGACATGACCAGATCAACTGATTACATGACCCCCCAAACTTGCCTTGACGTCAAATCAACCACATCTTTGGGACCTGAAGACTGGAAAATTGGAAGGGACCAAACTGAGCACCTCAATAAATACACAGATGGCTCCAAGATGGACGGAGGAGTAGGAGCGGGCCTATACTGTACAGACCCTGAGATAAGGCTGTCGTATAAGCTACCGGACCAATGCAGCATATTCCAGGCAGAAGTTTTTGCCATCGGGAAGGCAGCGGAGGTCGCTCTCCTAACAGAACGAGCATACGATGCGGTCAACCTATTCATCGACAGCCAAGCGGCGATAAGATCCATGCAGTCGTCCGCGGTCAGTTTCAGAAGTGTCTTGGCGAGCAGGGAGGCACTAGACATCCTAAGCACGACAAAGACAGTGCGGATCTATTGGGTTCCCAGCCACCAGGGCATCGAAGGAAACGAAGCGGCGGACGTACTAGCTAAGGAAGGCGTCGGGCTGGTGAATAGGAGAACCGAGAACGTGCCTGTCTCCCTTAGAACGCTGCTATGCGATCTAGAGAAGCAGGCTAGAACACAGACTGATAGCAGGTGGAACAGTACCACCACCTGCAGAACCTCGAAGATAATGTGCAAGGAACGCAACGAGAAACTTAGCCACTACCTACTGCACCTACCACGAAAAGACTGTAGATTGCTAGTGGGAATACTTACAGGTCTCTGTCTGGCTGCTGCACATGCAGCTAAGCTAGGCATCACCAACAGAGACAGTTGTAGGAAATGTGATGAGCCTGGGGCTATCGAAACCCTGGAACATCTCAACTGCTACTGTCCGGCTCTCTCAAGGGCAAGGAGGAGATACCTGGGCGCTCCAGTGCTGGCATCACTGGAAGATGCCTCCAAAAGGACGCCACAGGAACTGCTGGCCTATGCTAAAAATACCTCGATTCTCGGGGACTTTAAAACCACCTAAACACTCCCCCGACGGTTCATACAGTTATAGTTTTAGTTATAATAAACAAAAAAGTCGAGAACCGACGGCGTATGCAACCTGTTTAAAATAAGGAAATAAATGTGTAATTACCAGCAATAGTAAACACACACACGCAAAGTACGTGAGAATGCATGTGCACCCATACACTAAAACATGCTGGTGGCAAAACAGAACCAGACCTGAGAGAGTTCAGACAGAGTTTTTTCAGACATACAATCACATATTGTTCAAACATGAACATATTATCGTCAATACAATGCCACTTTCGGCCCCTTGCAGAATGTTTAAACATAAATAGATTATTGTACCCATCCACTCATGTAACAACACCGAACTCTAAAGAAATCACATAAAGTAGGCAAGTTATGACTACACTGGTGTAAACAGAGATCTGTAACCCATTAATACGACAACAAAACACAAGTGGAGAAAACACTTAACAAATGCGGTCCTAAAATAAAACTAATGTAAGCATGTACTCAAATTGACACCCTCAGTGAAGTGTATCATCTGCGTAGGTCTAACGATAATTATAGACTACCAAATTTTACCTCCTACCTCATTGTCAAATCACATATAAGGCTCTGATTTTAAGAATAAAATTTAGTTTGAATTTACAACTCAACTCGCAAATGTCTAGACTTTTCTTTTAAGGTCTTAACATTTTGGTCCTTCGAGACTGTCCGTTGTTTCCCCCCTGTGGTAAGAGCACGGAGTTAAACCATCTTCCTTGAGACTGAACAAGTGTCTAGTTCACTGACAGCTAAAGGTAGCAAAATAAAAAACTTTGATTTCCCTCCTATAGGAAGGAACAGAGTATAAAATAAATTAATGAAACGAGCATTAATGCTGAGCATCTTCTTGGATGCGTAAAGCGCAATGGTGCCCTTCTTCACCCTTTCCAATACATTGGGTTTCCATGCCAGTTTACTATCCAGTACAATGGAGCTGAGGGTCGATGGACATACACCCGTAATAAGTATGCTTATGTCGTCTGCATTTACTGTTATTTTTGGGGCCTTCCTTTCAAATCTCTTAATGAGGTCGTCGACCACCAAATTCCACAGTAGTGGCGACAGGACTCCACCCTGAGGTGTGCCTCTGTGTGCCCCCTTTACCATGGAAGCAGTGCCCCACTCCGATTGTACCCGTCTACAACTTAGGAGGTTTTTGATCCAGACGTTGATTGCAGGGTGTATGTTGTTCGCTTCTAGGCGACTTGTTATTGCGGTTGTGGCCACGTTGTTGAATGCTCCTGAGATGTCCACAAATGCTCCCAAAGCATACTTTTTGTTGTGAAGGGCGCTCTCGATGGTGGCTACTAGCGAGTGTAGTGCCGTCTCCACTGATTTCCCCTTGGTGTAGGCGTGTTGGTTTGTTGACATCAGTCCCCCTACCTCATTCCTGATGTGTAAATCCAACAGCTTTTTCAGTGTTTTTTCAGTGGAGGTAAGGCTTGGATAGGGATATAGCCCGTACTTAGACATGCTGAGTATACGCAACGCCTCTCCCAACGCCAAACATAAAAACCCGGCTACTAAATTGCAACACCTCGCCCAACGTAAATTGATTTACTATACGAACACCCCCCCTCCACACATAGCCGCCGATTGACACGCGCCGTCTTTATAACGCTGACCAAACACACCAGGTCACGCGGACTTCCACCACTCCAGACCAAGCAACCGGCCAGGCGCAGTCTTCCGGGTTCATCAACTACAAAACGATGACACAGCGGAAGCCCACGACAAGCACCCAACGGCAAACCCGCCAGCTCGCCAAAAACACGAAGGGACGGAACTAGGTCAACCCGCGATCGCCAGAATGGCGAAGTGCACCCCGACGCGGAAGTGCACTTCTGAACCCGCTGACACAGCGCCCATTGGCGTATAAATAGACGCCGACTGAAAACCAGAAAGCAACTTACGCAGAGATCCGGCTCGCAGTACGGTCGTTGTACCAAAACTTACGCGGAGACCCGGCCCGGAGTACAGACGCGGTACCCGGAACTTACCAGAAGACATCGGCGCCCAATTAAAAATAAGTCATTTAAACCGCTAAGAAATACAATAAAGTGTCAAACTTGCAAAGTAAAAACACCCGATTGCGTAAGTTCACCCCAATCAGCCGATGCACCGACGTCACCCCACTCCAAGCCCCCACGGTCGTTTCGTATACACGATGAGCGACCCCCATTCTAGCCCCGATCCACCTCTCTACGACAGGCCGCCCCCTGACGCCGCCCATAAGGTTCCATCACATTTCTACAAATTTCTTGTGAATTGAATCCTGGACGTGACTGAGCTTACCTCAGCCTGAAATAGGTCCATCACAGTGCCATGTAGCAGGAGTCTTTTTCTCACTCTCCAGCATTACTAACGTTAGTTCATCCGCTCTGTAATGAGACATCAGGTGCGCATGGATTCAATTCCTTACAAGTACGGCGGTTCTGTTACCGATATTGCTTGCTAGCCGATGTTAAGTAGAGAAGGTTGTAATTTGATGATTTTAGTCCGGCCACAAAATTGTCTGGCGCAATCCACGGCTCCTGGACTAACGCTATGTCAGCGGTCTACGTTGAGCTGCAGCACCCTTAGTGTCATGGGTGCCTAACTCAACCTCACACGACGTGCTGACTATAATTGTCAGGTCACCGTCCTAATATTCCACAAAATCGTCCAGACTCTCCAGACCTACGTCTTTCTCTGGGGTCCCTGGGGTCCTCCTCCATTCGCGAGAAAAGAGACTTGCCACAGTGAGATTTCTCTGGGACACTTCGCTTGTGGCCTTCTGTCCAGGCTTCCTCGTCTTCTCCTTGGGGGGTGGCTACCTTGGGCTCGCGTTGGCGCTGGAACCTGTTTCCAGCGAGCGGATAAGGCTTTCCTTTTCTGTCTATCTAATGGATAGCACGCTCTTCAGGACCGAGTAAGTATCAACAGCGCACAGTGTGGAAACTAGCTTGCTAAGCTTGCTAAACTAATACCTTCTGAGGAAATAAAGATGTCTTCATCAAACAAACTGCATTTGAAAAACGGTCAAAATATGATTTTGTATGGTATTTAAGAGCTGTGATATCCGTTTTTGACCGTTTTTCGTGCGAGGTTGTGACAGGTAAATCGGTATAGAACCCAAACGTCTCCGAAGCGCAGTAAGGGCTTTTAGACTTTGGTAATAAATATTTAAAAGAAAAATAAATAAAATTCTCGGGTAAATTTAAGGATATATTTTTAAAAAGTCCAGTCAAAGTTGAAAAATAGCCTAAATTTTAGATGGTATGCAAAACAAGTTTTTCTAAACAACTGCCTATGTAACTGACCATATTTTTAAAAAGTTGCAAACTCCCAATACTCATTAATTGCGCTGTTGTGCATATTTAATATATTGTGTAAAATACAACAGCACAATATTATGGCGCTATTATTTTTGTGTTGGCTATCAAGACCTTTTCCGATTAATGCTACATGCCGAAATATTTGCTATATCTTCATCATTCATTATTCGAAAAAAATGAATAATTCTTCTACTCAATTTAAATGTACTTGTCTTCATTTTTTATTGGCTTCAGCTGTTTTAGACGGATGGTGGGTGGGGCCAGTGTGAATCGGAGTTTTACATCTGTGAAATTACCACCATTCCCCCTAGATGGGCTCAGTGCAGAGCCTAATATGCTCATATTTGTTATTTTGTTTCTTTCCTATATTCCACAATGTTAGAGCTCTTTTCAGACTAGTCTAGTTCATGATTTTACATAGCCGATATCATAGTTTTCGATATCAAATAATAAATTATTATTTTACCAAAACGGAACTTTACATTGTTACCATATTTTTGATTGTAGATATCTGTTTCGCGACTTTATAATCTTTACATTTTTTGGTGGGTACAGCTAGTAAATTTAAATTATTAAGAATCATCTCATTCAGTATATCTTCGTTCTATTAGATCGTGTACATATTAATGTATATCCGACCATATTGATGGTTTTCAGTCCAGTTAGATTTGTTGTTGAATGGTTTAGAGTGCATAAAATACTCATAAATGCTTATAAAAACGTGTTCATAATTTGGGTGTATGACAGATATACCACGATAGTTGGTATATATATATACATATACCATATATATATATATATATATATATATATATATATGTGAACAAGGAGCAAAATTTAAAGCATTTTGCTTAGTTTAACTGTAATTTCTGTTCACCTTCACTGTTAATAAGCAAATAAATATATTCAATGTTTGTTATTTTGCTTTTGATTCCATTTTATGCCGCCAAGGCATTGACTACAAAATTTTGGCTTTCATCGGTATACCTATTATCATACGTACTGCACGATATTTAACAAATATTGTTAAAACAAAATTCAGTACTGCGCTCTAGTCTCTATAAGTTGGTTTGTTAGGTATATTCACAAGTCCGTTTATGTGTAGGAAGCACAAACTTCTCGCAACAAGAACCGTGGAAGGACATACAATGCCTCCATTAGTGAAACTAGTGCTCCTTGTACAGTACTTAGCTAACGTGAAAATCAGTAAGGAAACTATCTTCGGGTTGACAAAGATATCCTTCTAAGTTAGAAGACCATATACAGTCAGCACAACATTTATTCGGACACTCATCTATATCAATTTTCTTTATAAATAACTTGAAAAATATTTAAGTTTGAAAAAAAATTTGTATTTCATTATGAACATGGATATTACTACTACTAATTTCAAATCTAAAAACAAAAAAAAACCTTCTTTGGCATTTAAAAAAAAATTAAAAGTATCAAAAAGGCCACTTTTTTACGCACAACAATTATTCGGACACTTTTTATTTTGTACGAAAAAAAACTTATTGTCCCCAATTTTTTCTGATTTCAATATATGCTTCACTGTTGGGATGAGGTCTTTCCCTTTCATGGCTTGATTATCCTTTCTCCATACTTTGGATGGTCCATCATGTCCGAATATATTATATTTAGACTCCTCACTAAATATAACATTCTCCCAAAAAGCAGCTGGCTTATTTACCAAGATGGACAAACACATCTACAAGAAAATTTTGACTGACAATTCAATGGCGAGTGTCGAAAAATTGGGTCTTGAAGCGATGAATTTCTTGTTTCAACAAGTCAATGACCCCTAAAAATACTTCGTTTTTGGTTCAAGAATGGCTGTTGTATCAGTGCAAGCAGTTAAAAACGCCGCCGCAGTCACCAGGTCTGAACCCCATAGAGCAAGTTTGGGATTTGCTAGAAAAAAAAAAATTAGGAAACATAAAATTTCCTCCAAGAAAATCCTTAAAACGGCTCTGATGACGGAATGAGAGAAAATTAATCCAAATGAAACCAATCATTTGGTAAAAAGTATTCCCCCACGTCTAAAAGCTGTTATTGAAGCTAAGGGCGGCCCCACCAAATATTGTAATCAGAAAAAATTGGGTACAATAATAATACAGACAATACGAAAAAAACGTACAAAATAAAAAGTGTCCGAATAATTGTTGTGCGTAAAAAAGTGGCCTTTTTGATACTTTTAATTATTTTTGATATGCCAAAGAAGGTTTTTTTTTGTTTTTAGATTTGAAATTAGTAGTAGTAATATCCATGTTCATAATGAAATAAAACTTTTTTTTCAAACTTAAATACTTTCAAGTTATTTATAAAGAAAGTTGATATAGACGAGTGTCCGAATAAATGTTGTGCTGACTGTATCTTTTTCGTATATCTAACAGACTGCTATGCTGGCAGCACGACCTTCTCCACAAAAAAACCAACCGTTTGTCAGGGGTCGGCAACCTTTTCAGATGGAATCGGTTTTTAAAAAGCCACTAAAATTGTTGTTTTAATTTAATTTAATTTACCTATTTATATAATAAACAATTATCAGCTAATAATGAAACCTAGATACAAAAGGAGAAAAGAAGAGATATTAAAAGTTTGTTAAGTTTAGGTGATTGTAAATATTACATACTATGCAATCTTTGATTAAGATTTTTTTCATTAAAATAAATAATATCTTCTAATATTGTGTTGAACTCTTGAACTCAAATATTGAACTCTTCCCAAACGGCTGGACCGAGTCTTATGAAATTTTCTATTGTCTATTTAGTAAGTGTAAAGGTCGTAAAGTAACACAATATCTCTGATTGTATACAGATCATAACGAAATCTGCCTTCAAATCTGATCGGCATCTGGATCATCCCGAATCACGAAAAACCACATTAAAGTCCTGCATGAATCCACAAAATTTTGTGCAATCTCATGCTATACTCATGCCTCTTTAATGCTTTTGATCATTACGAATCCTTCCTTCATCCCGAATCACTAAAAACCGAGTGCGAGCAATGTTGATTAAAATCGCCAAGCTTTTCGGCGGCTTTTTATACTCGATACTCAAAAAGGGCATATGTATGTGTATACATATTACACTGTGTATAGCACCCAGAAGGAAGCGTTGCCGTCTCTATACACTTGCTCGCATACATACCTCTGCGTACACTTAGAAAAATGACTACATTTTTATGTTCAGTTGCGGATAACTTTTAATATAAGGCACTTTGGGCAACGATTTTTTTTATAATCTTCTTTGCTTATTTATAAACTTACATATCTATTTTTGTTGTTCAATAAAACAAGTTAATAGGAAAAAAAAACATAACAAAAATGTGACACCTCAAAAGTCTGCGTCAGATAGTACATACATACATGCGTCGGACTGTTTCTTCAGATACAACTTTGGAGAAACGTTATGCAACCTCCAGTTGCCTTGGATTTAGTGGCACCAGTTGGACAATACGTTTTTTCTCAAGTTCTGTCAACAACGGTGATCTGCCGGACCGGGGCTTTGACAATATGGAGCCCGAAGACACACAATTGTCGTAGAAGGCATTTCTCGGTAGGATTTTCCCTCCAACCTATATTTTAGAACAAGTAATAACGGTAATCGCGAATTCCGAAATTGTACGCATAATTATTAGAGTTTACGCTGACTTTTGAGGTATCACATTTTATCACATTAACTTAAATAGCTAAGTACATCTATGGGATCATTGACCTTGCATGTCTTTTGATAGTTTATTTTTCTAGCAGCAGGGTATGTTTTCTAGTTGTTGTTGGCTTAAATGTTAATTAATCGAGATGAAATTTTTAAAGTATGAATTGTATTTTAATATTCTAAATCACAACAAAAATTCTATCCGACTAGAGCGATATATAGAATAGCTACCATAGGAACCATTTTCCAAATTCCAAATTTTATAACTAAGCCCAAACCTATTGTACATATGTATATCTCGTTAATATGGCAGATGTATTACAAAGTGCTATTATTTTAACAAAATTTGACTAAATTATGTTCAGTGACGAACATAATTATTGGTACAGAAAGAATTGTTATGTTTGTGCCCTCTTCAAAGGCTTTCCATAGCGATGCTAGGATAAAATAAGAAAATGGTGCGAGATGCCAGAAATCTAACCTTTAAGTGCTAAGCTATGTTGCCTGTTATATATATATATATATATATATATATATATATATTTCATTCTTTAATAAAAAAAATAAAATTTAAGCGTTCTAGGTCAAAGGTTTTTGTTTAATAAAAATATTTGTGTTAAACATATTTAAATTCTCTACAAGATTCATACATTACGCAAAAGCTATCTCCATACGATCTCTATAATATTTAAATCATGAGAGTAAAAACAGCATTTTTGTTAGTCATTTTAAATTAAAGAATTTAATGTTAATCCTAGACGAATATTAGCCATAATAAGAGATGTCACCCCAAACCACAATGCCACCCTAATTACATCTATGTATAAAACACGCATTGGTACCATTTGGTCTTCCGTGTCATGTGATTTTGTGCCAAAAACACTGCTTGTATCCTTATGAACATTAGAGAACCATTAAAAAAAACTATTTGACCTGGAACGTTAATTTTTTATTTTGGGATTAAAGAATGATTAAATAAATTAATTTAATTTAATAAAGAATTAATGATTAAACAAAATACAAATATATTTGTAAAATATTCATTCGAACTTTGATTTAAATACTATGCAAAATCTTTGTCTTCCGATCCGTCTGATTTTGTGAAATGATTAAAAGCAGATTTTGTGAAATTGAGATATATATATATCATTAGATCAACTCCCATATTGATGTTCATACCAGATTCGTTACAAGCTTCTGTCCAATTTTAATATACTCTTTTAAAACCTTCAAATATTTTCGACAAAGTTCTCAGAAAAGATAAACACAGTACATATGTATAAAAAAATAATATTAACTTAACAAATAATTTGTCTATATTTTTTATTAACTAATAGTATTGATTCTAAATACCTTCTAGTGACAATGGATGACAGAGATAAAGCTCAGCATAATATGATATCCAATTTGCCGCTTTTGTTTGCAAATGGATACCCCACGTCGCTTGAAAAAATAAGCGAATCACAATTAGAAAGTTTTATTCCATTTATGGTACAGTGCTCTTTGGGCCATATAAACTTACCAAAAAAAATTGACTGCAGTGAGCCCGAGTGGTGGCCGGAAAACGCACCTTTTGGAATTCCGTTAAAAAAACCAAACGATTTTGTTGGGGTAAATATTTATAGAATAATTTTTTTTTTAAATTAAACAAAAGTATATTGACAATGAACAAGTGACAATACTTTCATTAAAAATACTTGTAAATGTACACTGAACGCGAATACCGTAAATATCGTAAACAGCGAAACTGCACGCTACAAATCAATCTTTCTGAATGTAATTTTCACAACACCTAGAGCAATTTGGAAGCTTGGAGTAGTTTTTATCTTGAACATTTTCTAAAGCCCATTAACATATTTTTTTAAATTTATATTAAATGTCTGTTTTTGGCATTAAATATAAAAATTAAGTAAAAACTAGTTTGAACGTTTGATTCGAGGCTAAGATGCCTAGTACCAAAGACTATACAATACCAAGATGTTGCATGAGGAACAAATTATTTTTCAATTTTCGTTTGACGCTTCATGGTACGGGCGCGCGGGGCTATTACGCTACCTTTTACCTCTTTTACGCTACCTTCGCCTCCGAAATGCTACTCGGCTTCGTCAATGCCTCGGTCAGCGTCGAGTCGGTGTGTCTCGAGAGAAAGAATACAAAAACAAAATATGAATCGTCTGCGTGCCGAAACCGTAGGGCAGCGTGGTCGCTGATGTCTTTGGCTCGGCACAGTGGGGACTCAGCCGAAATAGTAAACAAAATTGTATGAGTGCTTTAGATAAATTTAATGTACGCATCTAATAGAGAATTTTCCAATCGAATTTTCAAGATAGTTTTAGTTTAGGGGATATAAGCACTCAAAGTTTAACATTTTTTCAGTGTGCAAATATTTATTGAACTCATATTCACTAACTAATTTAGCAAGCTGAGACGGCCAAAGGTCCCACTGTGCCGCTCCAAAGACATCGGCGATCCGCGACCACCGCTTCGACGGTGCTGAGGCTGGAGAGTCCAGAATTATTTCGTTGCTGGTGAAGGCATTGCCGAACAGACGAAACCGATGGGCAGCGGGGTCGCGGTAGAGACGAAGTACAGGCGAAAAGGGAATTGAAACCCCGCGCGCTCCCTCGTGCCTCTTGGGTTCTAATGTTAGGACCTGCCATAGAACAGCTTTTTGGTCGCTCATGCAACATCTTGGTATTGTATAGTCTTTGCTAGTACCCTGCTGATTAAGAATATATACGTTTTTTTTCTGGCTGTAAAATATGTAGTTATACTTCTTCGGGAGTTGCAGGAAAGGAAGATGTTAGATTACGTTAGGTTAGGTTAATGCGGTAGCTGGAGAGGTCGGGCAGTGGCGAATTGACTTTTCCTCGTCCTGACAACTTCTGCAGAAGATATTATTAGGAATTGAATGTCGGGAATCATGTATGCCAATCTGCCAGGGCTGGCCACCATACTACCACTCCGTAGAGCATGATTGGTCGTATGATGGCGGTGCAGAGCCACCGAACTATATACGGTGTCATTCCCCTTTTTTATCATTTTCATTTTAGGCCTTCTTTACCCTCTATTCTCTATGCTCAATTTCCAATCGAGCTTTCTGTCGATTATCAAACCAAGATATTTATCATTGTTGCTAAAAGCATTTCCATAACCTTCATGAGAGTACTTGTCATGCACTCACATAACGTCTGCCGACGATTAATTACTCACCTACCAGGAATCATCCCTCAAATCCATCAGTGCACCTGTAACGGTTGTCTGGAGGGTGTTGTTAAAGGCGCCTTACTTCTATATAGAGGAAATCCTTCCAGGGTGTACTCCCTGCGGTTAAGGGACGCTTTGTTGATAGATGTGGTAGTGGCGTAGGGCTGTTTCGATGGGTCTTACCTTCCGGTAGGCATGCTGGATATATTATTTATTGGAGGGGCAGGTTTTATCGATCGCCTGTATACAGAGGGCAATCGAGCGAGCGTTCTAGCAGACAATGGCTAACTAAACAAATAAATAAAATAGTTGAATATCAGCTACTATATCAACCAGACCATATTAACCAGTATGGTTGATAACTCTGCTACCCAGAATATCTAATCTTTCCCTACAAGGCCTTAATTCTCAAAAACAAGAGCAAAAAGAGGCAGCCCGTGAAACGACTCGGTTGGCAGTCTGAAATTTTTCAGCTCAATGTAGAGTTCAAGAAATATAGTATTCGACGCGCAAGAATAAAGGCTTCAAGGTAATTTCAATACCATTGAATATCCACCATTCATTGAGAACTGTGGCGCATTGAATTTTATGGCAAAAAAGAATATCCCTTTCATTATACAATCAATGTTTAGAAATGAATAAAGTATTCGGTACTACTAATATTATTCGTAACAGCTTTATGCCCATCTTCAAGGTATTTTCCCAGCACGATGTATAATAATTTTGTTTCTGCATTTGTACTCGAATCTTCGGTACGAAGAAGCTCACGTACACGTGTGTAACAGTGATCTGCACCAATACAATAACACTTCTTGTTTAATTTTCCCTGTGCGTGCCGACCGCTTTATTATAGGCACATATTTTAACAACCGTCGCTATTAAAAGTTAATGTGGGAAGCCACTAACAAAATTGATTAAAGCGTTAAGTCAACGTGTTTCTTGAAGCGCTTTTAAATCGCTGAATAGCTGTGAAAATGCAGAGTGATTTTCCTCTAAGATTATGTGTGTTTTTTTTTTTAAGAAAATAACTTATTAAAATGTGATAACTGCTAAGAGTGCTTACACTTTTGTTAGCCTAATTTAAACCTTTTTTTTTATTTTGTAAGAAATTATAAATATGTATAATAAATATAATTACGCTTATTAAAGTTAGCCAAACATATAGAAAATTGATTGATTTATCTGAAAAAATTATTTATCTCTTGAAAATCTCATAAAACAGCAATAAACTGAAACGTTTCCACCTTTGACCGTACCTTTAAACCATATCTACCAGATTGCCGAAACTCAGCTATATCGGATCAGTATTAAAGCCAGAAGGAACAAATGAAATTGTAGTGGCTACGCAACCCCTTTCCACGCCAATGAGTAATCATTATCCCTCTCTCACACACTCTTCCTCGTGCAGTTTTTGACCTCCGCAGAAGGGAACCGAGTTATACAGGCAGACTCCGTTTTTCATTTACTTTTGCGGATGACGTTTTCAGCTAACCCGTTTCGTTTTCGTTTTAAAGTTTTCACATATTTTTGCTGTATGCACCAAAACGAAAATTGTTGTTGCCCCTGCTAATTTTTTCCGAGCCAAATTTGAGGTTGGGTTAAAATAACATTTATAAAGAAAGCAAAAGTTTAATTACTCTGATATAAGTGTCAAGTTTATGTTAATGCATCAATAAGTCATCTATTTTTATCCCCAATACTCAAAATGAGTGTTTTGGTGAAAATGGATGTGTGTAACGTCCAGAAGGAAGCGTTTCCGACCCCATAAAGTATATATATTCTTGATCAGCATCAATAGCCGAGTCGATTAACCGCTGTCTGTCTGTCCGTCCCTATTAGAGCTTAGTGCTCAAAATTCCTTCCGCCCACGCAAAGGACGAAAATCTGGGGCATCCACAAATCTCAGAGACTATTAGAACTGACTGTAGAGCTCTCACTGCTACAAAACTATTAATAATTTTTCACTGCTAAACTCACTGTTAAAAGTGTGTTTCTTTTGCTCACTGTAGAGAGCTCACTGCGATAAGTGTGTTTCAAAATGAATGTGAAAAACGGAGCCTGGCTGATAATGTCTGTAGAGAGTGAAATAGAACGGAATAAAAAACAGTATCGAAAAGGAAAAAATAAAAACAGATCAAATATTCCAAAATTTTAATTAAATATACTACCTGTCATGGTTCCTCTCTTTGTTTCGAAGTTTTTGCCATCTCTCGTGACAAGTGCGAGTAAAGAGTCTCAAGTAAAGATGGTGGGACGGGTGCCGTTCGACAACGGTTAGAAGGAGTTATGATCAACTGGTCGATATATAACCGGCAGCTTACCTTGAAGTCGAGAAACCGGCCCTTAAAAAATGTAAACAATACGAACTTTCTTATTGGTATAATCCGCGTCGGAAGTTGTAAAATATAATCCAACGAAAACCCTCTCGAAAAATTTTCATTGTTTTGCCAAATTAATCGACCCTATTTGCCATTTTTAACTGATTGTAAACAAAATCAAAACCAACGTATTGACACTAGTATTGCCAATTCCCGAAATATTGTATTGTTAAGCTTTTCTTATTCGTATTAGCGGATTAAGAAATTAAGATTTTTAAGATAATTAAGATTAACAATTTGCTGGAGACTTCTTTTTAGAAAATAATTAATATATTGTTGCTCCAACAACCCTGATCTTAAAGAGACTATTTGCAATCAATACGGAATGGAAACTGAATTCTCAGCCTGCGTGATCTTCCTATTCGTCACAATAAAGTCATGTCCGTCTGTTCGCTCGCCTGTCCGTATTCGATCTCAGAGACTAGGAGCTTGAGCAACCAAAGTTTGTGTGCAGACTCCTGGGATATCACATTGAAAAAATTGTTTTATAATTTTGACACTCTCGCTCTCATCTCCATAAAGAGTACAAATCTGTGGCATCCACTACTTTAAAGATACGAGAATTATATTATCCGTGGACAATTCCTCCTGTCACGCGATTGATCTGTCTCTCTTTCATACACTTTTCCTCGTCCCGTCCAAATATTTTAAAGTTTTAATCGTATAGGTCATTGGTGGAGACAGAATACACAAAGTGCACGAATTAACACAACTAGACTAGAGCTCTAGTTACTCTCTCCCAACACCGTTTTGTCTCCTCTTATGACAGGTGAAAGAAAAATGTATAGATATGAGCGGTCTGTTTTGTCCATGCTCTACCACAATCGTGTGCTCTTTCAGTGAGAAGAGCGACCTCTGCTGCTTTCCTGATGGCAAAAACCTCTGCCTGGAATATGCTACAATGGTCCGGTAGCTTATATGACAGCCTTATCTCAGGGTCTGTACAGTATAGGCCAGCTCCTACTCCTTTGTCCATCCTGGAGCCGTCCGTATGTATATTGAGGTGCTCAGTTTGGTCTCTACCGT